TTCTCACCCCTTGGCGGAAAAATATACGAGCTGTGTGGAGGTTTAGGGAAATAGCCTACCTGTAATGGTGCATCACGCACATGGAGTTATCTGACGGAGAGACGCAAAGCAGTTTTAAAGCCTGCACGGGTCCTGTTTGGTAAACGTGCACCAGCAGTACTTAACAGAACACCCGACCCATTATCTGACAGCAGCACTAATTTAATTCTGTACCAGACCAGAACCGTTTGACATAAAGACCGCGAGTCGCGACCCGAACCGCACTCGCATTAAATCTATTACATCAGGTAAGCAAGATTATTTATTTTATCATGTAACACAAGCAATCAAACCAACATTAGGCATTCTAAGTCGGTGCTTTGAAGAAAAATACATGCAGCGCAACATGATAATTAACAGAAAAAAAGATGAGAACGCGCATCCTTTCTGAAAACAATACAAAACTTTTGCCTAGCATCTTGTGATCACTCTGCCAGGCTTTTGAACAAATGTGCATTGGCTAAATCACATCATACACATGCTTAGAATTCTTTATAAATGAAAAGAACATTAAAATATAAGCCTTTACTGTTAAATGCGATTGCCATTATTATTAAATTCCTTTAGTCCCAGTTTTGATTGATGCATGGCTGTTAACGGAAAAGTGAGCAAGGCACCACAGTTATAGCCTAATATCATGATTATGGTTAAATAAGAAAAGACATATAACCAAATCAGGCTACATTTATTTTCAAACTAAACATCTCAACACACATAATTGGATATGACATTAAGCGCGACTTGTGTAGATTAATTGAGTAAAAAAGGCTACTTTTACGATCTAATCAATCTCAGCATGCGTTAATTTTGTGTCGCTATATCTTTGCCTCACTAAGGTTAAAATATGCCTACGTCTTTCTTTGGCCTGCGCTCTGGAAGTGATCTATTAATTCTGCTAAACTTTAATTAAAACCGAAACTAAAACTAAACTATATAAAAACGAAATAAAAATGCGTTCACAAAATAAAAACTAAACTAAAACTAACAAAAATATGAATGAAACTAATAAAAACTCAACTGAATTTTATAGCAAATTTGAAAACGATATTAAAATAAAACTAATTTAAAAATTAAAAACTATAATAACCTTGCAACATTGTAACAGTTGTAAGTTCCTGCTTCGTAACAAAGCAAATGTTCTAAAAGTCTGAAAATAACCTTAATTTTAATAGCTAGAAGGTTGACCGTTGTGGATCTATAAAATATATACGTTAAAAATATGAACACAATTGAGTTACCTTATCTGTTCCTCTATGTGATTTACAGAGGAAGTTGGATGCTACAGTATACGTTGTATGTTTGAGTCAAACGGTTCCTTTGAGGAAATGTTGGCAGCACATAGTCATTTACTTACCCGGGGGTAAAAGGCTTTCTAAATACTGTAATCTTCACTGGCTCATTCCTTTAAGAATGCTCTTGACTTCTCTCAAGGCCTTCCAGAGCGAGCTTTATATGCATTTCCTCTGAAAACTCTAGTTCTATGCGAGCTTCCCATATCATATTTTCATATATATTCTTACTTGTGTGTTCTTGTTCCTATTCTTATATAGGATCATGTGACACTGAACACTGGAGTAATGGTTGATGAAAATTCAGCTTTCCATCACAGGAATAAATTTATTTTAACGTATATTAAATTAGAAAAACTTAAATTGTAGTAATATTTCAAAACAGTACACGTTTTTTCTGTATTTTTGATAAAATAAATGCAACCTTAATGAGCATAATGGATGTTTAAAGAAACATCAAAAAACTTTTGAATGGCAGTGTGTATATGTATATAAAACATTTTAGCATATTATATTAAAGGGTTAGATCACCCAAAAATGAAAATTCTGTCATTAATTACTCACCCTCGTGTTGTTCGAAACCCGTAAGACCTTCGTTCATCTTCAGAACACAATTTCTGACCGTGTGGCGGCGCTGACCCAGATCCGACATGATGACGTCACTACGCCGGATCTGGGTCAGCGCCGCCACACGCTCGCATCATGATACTGTCGTGAACGCACGTCCAAAGTGATGCAGTAGAGATGAAAATGTGGAATAAAGTTGTTATTTTTGTTTTCTTTGCACAAAAAAGTATTCTCGTAGCTTCGTAACTTTACAGTTGAACCACTGATGTCACACGGACTACTTTGTCGATCATCTTGGTACTTTTCTGGACCTTGAACGTGGTAGTTACCTTGCTGTCTATGGGAGGGCCAGAGAGCCCTCAGATTTCATCAAAAATATCTTAAATTGTGTTCCGAAGATGAACGAAGGTCTCACGGGTTTGGAACAACATAAGGGTGAGTAATTAATGACAGAATTTTCATTTTTGGGTGAACTAACCCTTTAAACCTAACAGTTCCAGAAGCTTTACATATATTTTTGTGGAGGTGGATTGTATTAGTATTGCTCTGTCCTGTAAGACTTCATCAAAGATTTAATTTTGTGCTTAAATTTCCTCACAATTTCGATACACTGCGTTGCACCTGAAGTTGCAGTGGCTAAATGAGAAAGCAATCATGCATAGAGTCTATTAAAAGAGATCAGCTCATATGGGATTTGGCTTTTATTAGCTTTACAGGACCAGATGTAAATGGTTTTTTTCTGATTTTGAAAGCATCTTCATCTTCAGATTTTGTTGACATCTTCAGAAGCTTGATGCAAAAATTTAATTGCTAGAATATATTCCAGCTTCCTACTGATCTCATTGCGAGAGCAACAGGAATCATACATGGATTGCATTTTGCTTTATACTTGTCTTCTAGAGTTGTCTTTTACTTCAAGGTCTAGCCCGCATGTTAAAAATGGAAACTTGCATCAAGTGGCTTGAAGCGTCCCAGTGTGATTCCCATGCAGAAGGAGGTCTGCTGTGAGCGGGCAGGACGGGGGCTTGTGAAAGGAAGTGCGTGTTGGGAAAGTGGAGCAGAGTTTCCCAGAGGTCGATCCCACTTCTGAAGCTGCGGTTGGGCCCGGGGTGGGTGTTGGGTTTGTTTAGGCGGGGGTAGAAGGTCAGGGTGAGTGCGTCCAGGGGATGCAGGGATAAAGAGGCCCGCTGGGAGCCGGCCGCCCTCAGGATTCAGCCTGGGAGGAAATTGGGAGTTAAACGTGATGCGGACAGTGGGGCCGTAGGGTTAGACCTGAAGCTGGAGAGAGGAAGGAAAGCGCAGGGGTGTGCCACTCCTCACATGCTGGAGTCACAGCTGTGTTTTGTTTTGCTTCCAATCCCCCACCTCTTCCAGAGAGGAAAACGGCTAAATTTGGTCCCCAGGTATCCTCTGTTGTTTTAAAGATGTATTTATAGGTGCTTATGGGGAGGGCTGGGAGAGAAAAAATCACTGCGATTCTCTCTTCAGTGATTCTTGTAAACAGTGTTGTTTTAACAACATGACAAAACATATATGTCAAAATATGTCTGTGCATTCGTGTGAATGCAGCCTATCAGACCTGCTGCTGTCTGTGATGCTATCAGTAATAATCAAACAGCAATAATGCTTAGCAAAAGAGGCAGTGAACTGTCTGCTCTTTGTCTGGAAGCTTTACAGAGAAACTTCAAGCACTCTCAGATACTGAAAGCAGTTTTTGTTTGTTGCTTGTAATGCATTTCTTTGTCCTCTTTCATTTGCTATATTGTACATTTTAAAGCTGTATTTAATTAATAATTCTTAACATAGTTGTTTTAATTTTATTATTACATTTGTGATTTTGAGTACTTATAAGCATACAAGTAATTTAATAAAAATGCACAAATAAATTTGATATACAATGGTGGTAAACTCATTCATGAATTAATTAATCAGAAAAAAATATTGTTTAGAACTGGATCAGATCTTGAGGTGCCTAAAGATTCCCAAGTCAAGTTATGTCACTTGAGCAATGCAGATTGTGTCAAAGCAGCTTCAGAGTAATAAAAAGAAAAATCGCATGGCGCTTTTCCATGGCATGGTACGGTTCACTTTTGGGGGGTTTTCCACTGGGTACAGTACCTGGTACTTTTTTTAGTACCCCCTCGGTTGAGGTTCCAAGTGAACCGTACCGTTACCAAAACGTGACGTGTAAACTCTGCTGATCACGGATTGGCCGGAGAGAATCGTCACTACCTGCATCACTGAACTTGCGAATCAAACAAAACAGAACCGCTAGATTAAATCAGCACAGCCAGCGAAGGATCTGTTTTGAACAAGCGCACCTTTTTTAACAACCAAAAAGTGGCTGTTTCGTTGTCTGTTGAGGAAGTACAGACGTTCCTCTCGTTGCTAGCAGAGGAGCGGATCCAGCGAGAGCTTGATGGGGCGACGTGGAATGAAAATGTTTTTCAGGAGTCGCGGCAGTAGAGGCGGCGCAACTATAATAACGACATGTGAATAATCCCGCCCACTCTAAAGCGGTCCTGAACTGCAGTGGAAACGCAAACTGAGCCATGCCGTGTTGTACCGTACTGAGCCGTGCCGAGCCAAGTCGTACCACGCAGTGGAAAAGCGCCAAAAATCAGTTATGGAACCTCAACTATGAAGACAGTTCAGGTTCTGCTGTAAAGCAACTCTAAAAGACAGTAGTGTCATTGTTTAGCTTAAGCTCAACTGATGGATAATATTACAACATCAGAGTCTTGCTTGGTCTTTTTGTATTCATGGGTAAAGAATATTCAAGTCATAAATTTGAGGTCATTGCATTCAGTGAGAAGGTGAGACGCTGCTTAATAACACTGCGTTTTTAACCTTTGAGGCAAACATCTGCTTTAAAGTGAAGCTATATTAACTTGTCTAGTCCTGCTTAGCTGCGTCTATGCTTGCACCTGGAGCTAACACTTTAAAAGTGGTTATGTCAGTCCCGCAAAATGATCAAAATCTCAATTTTTACAGAAATCAAACCACAAATTGTTCCTTTGCCTCAAACATGTACAGTTGTTGACTTGATTTAATATATGTTGATTTTGTTGCAGGCCAAGCCGATCTATGGCGGATGGCTGTGTTTGGCTCCAGAGGGGACGGACTTTGACAATCCCATGCAGAGATCCCGGGTAAGAGGACGTGACGTTATTTGTATGAAAGTTTGGCATCTGTTTGCATTAGTGTCTTGGCACTGTACACAAATAAAGCTCATCAGGTGTGTGGGATACTGCATTTGTTCTGTTGATTAATAGGGTTGGGTACCGAAACCCTATGTACCTATGTAACCGGTATGTACTAGAACCGAATCAGAACGCAGGTTTCGGTGCCTCATTTCGGTGCCACTTAAATGCCTGAGCGATCGATTGAAATATTTGTCCTGATTCTCCGAAATGGATGTAAGAAGCATGGGCGTCGCTAGGCCATTTTTAGCGGGGCTATAGCGATTAGCTCCATAAACTGTACACAAATTCGTGATCGCCTCAGAGTCAGTCCCCTTAAAATTTCATATGAAAACGGCGGCAGACTTCGTCTCCTCCCCGTCTTTCTGCGCGCACTTCAATCCGCAGCGCGAGCGGACTCAAACAGAAACTGAGGACACAAGGTGTGTGTTTATCGATAGATTGTTATAATATCTGTATCTGTGCAGTTCTTTGTCATACATACGGTTTACAAAAGGTCACGAGGGGGCAACCGGTTTCCCATCTAACGTTACTGTAACATTTTCGCTGCGCTCAGCACAGCTGTTTCCTCCAATGAAAATCTAGCCCTCAACACGTATGAATTCATAGGCCTACTTTATAAAGCGATCATGTTGCTATTTTCATTTGAAAATGTTATATTTAATATATAACATTTTACAGTGTATGTGGCATACAGTCATTCACAGAACTGATTAAAGACAGTGACAGACAGCACTCAGTCAATTCACTCATTTTAACTAAATATCAGAGTGATTGACAGAGATACAGTAGAAACATTATGTGTGGTTTTGTATTAAATATTGTTTTGTATTAAATAATGACCCAGATCGCGAAATATATTTATTAGCATTAGAGTAAGGGAAGCACAACTCGGGAAATGAGAGCATCCTAGCAGCATGTGAATGCTATGCATATTTATTTTAAATATTTTTAATGTTCTTTAATGTTATCCATCGTTTTTTTGTGTGTGGCTCTTTTTTTTTTTTAAGTATCGGTTCATGCACCGTTTAGGCACCGGTACCGTTTTAAAAGTATCGATTTGGCACTGGTATCGTAAAAAACCCAATCGATACCCAACCCTATTGATTAATCACTCAAAACTTTGTATTAGAACTGTGAAGTTAGAGCTTTAATTTGATGTGATGAATTGGTAACACTTAAGTATAACTATACACTTATAAAATACTTACAAATAATGAACAAACTTAGTTTATAGTTTATTCGTAGTTTATATATTGTAGTCTCTATATTTGTTAAAGGGTTGGTTCACCCAAAAATGAAAATTAGCCTGAGTTTTACTCACCCTCGAGGCATCTCCTATTGGATTCTTTTGAAAGAAGAAAGTCATATACACCTATATAAACGAATAGTTTGTTCATTATTTGTAAGTACTTAAGTTTATAGTTATACTTAAGTGTTACCAATTCAAATTCATCTAAGTTAAATAGCTTATCGGAAAAATCTGGAGCGGGACTTGGATGGAGATGATTGAAAAAGATAAAATGATCGGAGAAGCCCAGCATTTCACTAGAAGTTCAAGTTACGACATCTTGATTAAAAATCAAAAACTGAAATGCATGCACGGGTGAATTGTTTGAAATTGAATTTTCATTTAATGCAGACTTAAATGTATATTAACCAATAGACAGTGTATGTATTTGAGAAAATATGAATAACATTACTAATCTTTCCTTTAAACACAGAAATGGCAGCGGCGATTCTTTGTCCTTTATGAACACGGCTGCTTGCGCTTCGCTCTGGATGAATCGGTAAGCTTTACATCTCTCACAATTGCACATCAGTGATCTGTGAATCTAATCGCTTCGTTAAGAGATTACATTTGTTCTCTTCAAAGCTGCCCTGACCAAACCAAACTAGGGCTGCAACTAACGATTATTTTGATAATCGATTAGTTGGTCGATTATTTTTTCGATTAATCGAGAGAGAGATTTTTTTTTATTATTGACAAAAAACAATGTCAATGTCCTTCAAACAAACGTGCCAACTGAATGCTATGAAAGCATACAGTGCTTAACAATTTATTAGACCACCTGCCATAATAAAGAGAAAGCACATTTTAGGAATCTGTCAAAAAATTGCTTAAATCAAAAAATGTTATTGTCATTTATTGGGCAAATAAACTTAAACAACTAAATGGTATTTATTCACATAACAAAATTGGCCTCCTATGCCCTTCATAACAGCTTGCTTTCTTGCTGGCATTGTTTATGTACGTTTTGACTGTAATTGGGTATCTGAAAAAAAACACTATAAAGCTCTCTGCCTTTCTTTCATAGATAACAGCAATAATTATATTATAGCATTAGAAATAGCCTACTACTGTTACTAACGAGCTCACACATATTGGAGGACTAACACATACAGAAAGCTAAAAAATGATTTTGGTAATCACCAGTACTGTTAGTTTAGAGCAGCAGTGGCACAAACCATAATTTGTTAAACAGCTTACATAAATTTGTTTTAATAAATTTGTTAAGCATTGTATATAGTGATTGTGAATATAGTTTAAATATAGTATTAAAATTTTAAATAATAATAAAGAAGATAAAGACGAATAAAATCACAAACTCAGTTGTAACCAATAGGTAAGAGTAATGTTCTGCGGGAACACATGTTCACTTTGATCACAGACACGTCTTACTCTCATTTCTTTATTCTGTAAAAGGCGTCTGATATTTATATTCTGACAATTACACGCTGTTATCCCCTTACAGTTCCTACTCTCATAAAATACTCGCAATGCATGTTGACCTTTTAAACTGAAAGTTTTTGCACTGAGGACGCACACGCATCAACTCTCAAAGTGCCTGACAGAGCAAGCCATTACTCTGGCTAATGCATTATCTTAGAAAGCTTAAAATAAAGAATTCTCATATTTTGGGCAGCTTGGATCACGTAACTCTCATGCAGGATCTCATTCTGTTTCCACCACTATTTTTAGATGCATTTTGTCCATAGACATGCGTAATTCAGTGCTGTAATTTGACGCGACCCTCTGAAGTTGGACGTGCACGGTGGGCAGACCCGACTAATCGATAATGAGAATTGTTGTCGATGATTTTCATAATCGATAATAATCTATTTTATCCATTAGTTGTTGCAGCCCTAAACCAAACCTTAGTGGAATCCTCTCCAATAAAAAGACAACATAACCGTTCCTGAACTAAAATAATCCAAGAAAAGTTTGTTGCTTCATCAGCAGCTCAGAGATGAGAAATGCTGAGGGAGTCCATCAGGGATGTGGACCAGCAGAACACGGTCCTGTGGTTAATGAGAGCCCGGCTCAGCCTGTTTGTTTCACAGGAATGTGACATGGGTGACCAAATTAGCTGCCTGATCTGCCCGGAGATTACAGTGTTTGTGTGTAAACAGTGAGGCCCACACACAGGCTCAGTGCTAGTGCTGAGTCCCGCGGGACCCTCGACTCCCGACGCTTAGGTTGCTTACTGCAGCAATGCCCAATACCGCTGTGCAATTCATCATTCTGCATTGCAACATAAGGCAGAAGGTTGGAGTCACATCATTGTGCGAGATGGCTGAGGGAGGACATTGTTTTTATTTCCAGTGAGTGGTGAGGACAGTCCAAACTAGTTCAGGGTACTACAGAGTTTCCTGCCATTGTTTTGTCTTTTCATCTGTGTGGGGAGTTTCAGGAAATGCTGTTACGTTAGGTCAAGAAAAAAAGGCTCTTCAGAGTATGGATATAAGCAAAGCATAATACTTTGGCTTGTTTTTTTTGTGCAAAAATGTGCTTGGGGTTAAGTAGTAGGACTCTAACTTTGTTTTGCATGTTATAGTATTGAAATGTTGTGTCTCTAGTAAAGGTGGTTGCATTACAGCTGTGAATTGAACTGATATTTGAGCACATGACACACTAGCTCACTTCTAAGAGGCTAAATGGATTTTCGGGAATGTCTTAATTGATTTTTCTCTTCTCTCCTGGGAATCTTCTCATAGCACAGAGTCTGTTTTACCTCTATATAGTCTGAGATACTGTTTCCTTAGTGAACATTCCTTTCAACCCTGGTTCATTGGTGAAACATGCCCCTAATTTTTTTCAATAATGAACCTGTACATACAATTCACTGCAGTTTCCAGCCGAATGAACACTAGTGGCAGTAAAACACCAACAACTTTTATTCCTTTTCACACAGATTATGATTACAGAGGCAGATTATCAATTAATAAAGACTTATTTTTAATACGTTTTCTTGCACAATACTATGTTATGAGCTCGAAACACTTTTACCATAGTGCATTTGCAAACTAATACATTTTACCAACTCCATATTTTTGGCTTTTCTGAGGTAGTAAACTTGCTCGGTAGCGCACCTGGTAAAGCACTGCACTTGTGATGTGAAGTGCTCGGTGCGAGTCCATCAAACACAAGTCACGATAAAAGAGCTTAAAGACTTGTAGAAGCAAGATAAAATGATTGCTTATACAGAGGCAGATTATCAATTAATAAAGACTTATTTTTAATACGTTTTCTTGCACAATACTATGTTATGAGCTCGAAACACTTTTACCATAGTGCATTTGCAAACTAATACATTTTGATGTTTGCATCACATAACCAACTCCATATTTTTGGCTTTTCTGAGGTCGTAAACTTGCTCGGTAGCGCACCTGGTAAAGCACTGCACTTGTGATGTGAAGTGCTCGGTGCGAGTCCATCAAACACAAGTCACGATAAAAGAGCTTAAAGACTTGTAGAAGCAAGATAAAATGATTGCTTGAGCAAATGTGTTTTTAACTCATTTGCTTTTGTTAACACTGTCAGTATCGGCTTGGGGTCGGGTTTAGTTATGCTATTTTCAATATGCGATAGAGCATTAACCTTTTAGCGCATTTCATTTTTGAGAACTGAACACACTTTATGTGTTGAGAAACATTCAAGAAGCAACGTAATATCTTACAGAAATGTCATGATAGGCATGTTTTTCCATTGAACCTTCCATTGGCTCGTTTTTAGCTATATAAGGGTTTGCTATGTATATTGTGAATTTCAGTTGAGCTTAAAAAATGCTCAAGTAGAGGTCTACCAATTGATCGGTTGGCCGATTAATTGGCCGATTTTCGGCATTTTTTTTTATTAATTGGCATCGGCCGATTGTGCTGCAAATTAGGCCGATATATAGGCAGGCCCATCTGCGGGCTGCTAAGCGTTACAGCCGCTTCTTGCTCACACACAGTTTCAGCTAATGATGGCAGGGCAAAACAGACCATTTCGAAAGCGTAATTACGGTTCATCCTACTAGAATTGATGCCGGAAAGTTATCATATTCATAAGTGCAACAAGTCATTTGCTTGTGAAACTAGAAACGCATGCAGTTCAGACGAAACTTCTGGGCTGATTATAACGTGCACGTTAACTTTCCTCTTGAAATGTGTATGTAGGTCCGACAATAGCATCCACGATATCATCGCTCGTGGCCAGTGCACTCTTAAGCAGTTGTGAGCAGCAGAGCATACATTGAGTTACTTCGTTGAATAAACTGATCACTGCACGTTTCTAAATTAAAATGCAGCGCGGGTGTTTTTATATGTATCTTTAAAAAGAACCGACCATCTTCAGAAAAGCTTTGGTGTCATTTTCATTTCGTCTTTCCTGTAATGCCTGATAAAGTAGCGTTTGTGAGTGCAGTGCTTATTAGATTACAGCCGTTACAGAGGAAACCGCTATATCTCTTCCCGCTCCAACAGCGCCTCCTGCTGGCGTAGAATGAATTTGCATTTGCAAGTCTGTGGGAAACGCTGGTGTCTGTCAGCAAACATAAACAAAAAGCATGCTTCAGAACTGTTTTGAGAAGGTGCTTAAGTTTTGAGCCATGTATTATTACTCCGAATTAGGCTACTACTACTATTAATATCTTGTACCCTGCAATAATCATTTACTTAAACTCACTTTTATGAGATGAAGAAAAGAAAAAAACAAAGAAAGAAAATCGGCCAAACATATTGGCCAAAAAAATCGGCATCATATATCGGCCAATCGGCTGCCCTGATTTCTAAATATCGGCATCAGCCAGTGAAAAACCCATACCAATCGACCTCTACGCTCAAGTGTGCTCATTTCACTCCAGGCTCTGTTGTAATCATATCCCAGTATGGTTGTAGTTGTTTTAAAACACATGAACTCTCTAAACCCGTAACTTGTCAGTTGCATTAAGAGAGTCAGCCGGTAAGTAGCCATTCATCTAGCTTTACTGGTGACTTGTATAAACATGATGTGCGTTCAGCTGCGGTCTTGAAGCAAAGTATTTTAATTGTCATACTGAGATGTTGTTAACGTGGAGTCTGCACTCAGGATTGCGTTTCCCCCCAATATGCCCTTATTAGGAGAAACTGCTGAGGACTGTGGGTGACGGTGCTAAACTCTGAGAACGTTAGCCCCCTAAAACCACATCGAAATGTTAAATATGCTTTGAGATTCTCGTTCCGCTGAGGACTTTGCCACAACACCTAGAGAAAACCAACTTAACAGAGTAAAGCAGAGTTTGTTTCAGACACAGATTTTACATCGTACATCAAGCGACCCCACATTTATCTTGTTTTTTTTTTTTTAGACCTCTGATCATCTGAGATCCGCTGGAGTTCACCGTTTGCTTTAGACCGAAGGGGCTGCTCTTTGCCAGGTGTTGAATATGAAATGTGTCCGTTTTATAGCCCTCAGGTGTTGCTGAGCTGGAAGATTCACATAGGTGTGTTTTAACAGAGGACATGGCACGTCTGGGCACATATGTGCTGTAAAATAAGAAGAGCTACCTGAAAATGGAGCAGCTTTGCTATTGTGCCACTTACGTTTGCAATAAAACAGCTGTTGTGACCCAAAACATTGCTGTCACTCCTAAAAACTTGTCCTTCTGGCTGTTTTTGTGTTTTAATCTGCCCTCATCAACAAATGGGAAACTGTTGAGCTTTGCATCATGGCCTGTTAGTATTTTCTTGTAAATCATTTTCCAATAGCCTTTGTTTTATACAAATTTGAAAAATCATTTTTGACAGTGTAGTTCATATGGCTCATGGGCTGTATTTCAAGTCTCCGAAAGTTAAGCTTTGTGTGAGAAACAAACTGAAACTTAAAATAATGGTTTACCCAACAATGAAAGTGTTGTCACTCCAAATCTGTATGCATCCATGATGTTTTTCTGAATAAAGAACTTTACGCAGCTCTATTCATACATCGACAGGTGCCAGAAACTACCGTTTTTCGCTGAACTGTCGCTTTAAGATGGACAGTGGTTATAGAGGACCTCATTCACTGATCCTTGTTTTAACTGGAACATAGAGCCATTAAAAAGTATTTTATTAAACAAGTTTTCATTCTGTATTTGACTGTAAAATAGTTACTATGCAGTTTGATTCCTTACAATGCAGGACAAACTGGCAAGTGAGCAAGAGAGCATTTTTAGTTTTATTACAGTTCTAAAAAAAGCTGAGCATAGCAAGACAATGAAAGGATGTGAGATTTGATGTGTTTTGGAATAAAAACCACAATAGTGTGAAATGCATGAATGGCGAGCTTGGCAAACGTAAACTCTTTGTTTCCGATAAGCCATTGATTCACTGCCTATATACATGTTTACTAAGTCATTATGATGGATTCATTAACCGTAGCACGCATTAGTGTTTGGCCTGGGCCTTTGCTGTAATTCACAGGGCCTGTGACTGTATTTTTATGCGTGGGCCCCTTGTCCCCGCAGGGCAGATGTGTGAGGACCTCAGCGGGACGACATTCCCCCTGATGACATTCCTGCTTCGAGCTATTTGCTCTTCCTGTTTTTCTTTTCTTTTTTTTTCACATGCATTGCCTCATATTTTCCTCTCTTACCTGAAGACGTCTTAAAGACTCCCACCCCCAACCCAAGCGAGTCCAAAGACCTAAATGAACTGCTTTCTAACTTTAACACACATAGCTCAAGTTATTTGTGTGCTTGTGGCTACTGGCACTTTTACAGGAATTTATGCTACAGTTTTGGGTTTGTTCTTGAATGACCTTCTGGATAAAATAATATGAAATTAGTAATCCGATACATCTAGGTTTCTATCATGATTTGTGGTGGAACAAAGGGATAATGTGTGATAAAAGTGATAATGTGGGATAATGTCCCGTTGTGTGTTTTCGGGGCTGTGCACGAAGGGACGTGAGACTCTTTGTTGTTGTGTTCTTATGCTGCTGGTGTCTCGTTACCCAGATTTCTTTCACTCTGCAGCACTCACTCTGTAGTGAAACAGAAACACTTCTGCAGTTTATAACTGTGAGACACTGTAATTGCCATATTTGGCATTCCCTGGAGTTTACTGGCAGCTTTTAATAAAGCTAGATCACTTAAAATGGCCATAAAAGGAATCAGGAAAAGACGGCACCTGTTTTACATCTCGAGTCTGCAAGAACGTCTGATAACAGCCCGGGCAGAAGTTGCGAGACGGTGGAGTGCGAATCTCTGGATCTTAACACTGAAAGAATCTCAGTCCAGTGCTTTAAAGAAAGTTCACCCAAAAAATTAAGCCATTATATGCTCGTTCTCATATCTCGTTCCAAACCTGTTTGACTTACTGTCTTGTTCAAGCTCTAAAATAGCAAGAAAGGACCACATACACAGGATGCATGCACAGAATTTCAAGTCTTCTGATTTTCAGATTTAAAAAAAAGTTTTATGACCTCATGTGAATTGAGACTAAATGAGATCATAGTTAACATTCTTTAAAAAAACAAGTGACACCAGAGAATCATTTAAAATAAACAAATGTAGTCAGAAAGCTGGTTTTAAAATTGCGAAAACTTCAAAGAAACTTATACATACATAACATATACACTTTTCTTTTTACACTTTATACTCTTTATACACTTTTCTTTGTCCAGTCAAAATTGCTAAATACTACAATATAAAGTAACCGATTTCTATGTGAATATATATAAAAATGTAATTTATTTCTTAGATCAAAGTTGAATTTTACATGATCCTTCAGGAATCATGAAAATATGCTGATTTGCTGCTCAAGAAACATTTCTGATTATCAATTTTGAAAACAGTTGTGCTGCTTCATATTTTTGTGAAACTGTGATACATTTTTATTTTTCAGGATTCACAGATGAATAGAAAGTTCAAAAGAACAGCAGTTATTTGACCGAAATCTTTTGTAACATTTTGTAACATACATTTACTGTTGCCTTCAATCAATTTAATGCATCCTTGATGGATAAAAGTATTTTTTTTAAAAACGTACTAACCCCAAACTTTTGAATGGTTTTGTACACGTTGATCTGTGTGAAGTACCCATGTATCATGAGTCTGTGCAGTCCTGAACCACTGAGGTCGTTGAACAGCACTCTGACAGTGTTCTTATTGTTGATGTGGGACCGTAATGGATCTGCTGCCATTAGACCAGCTGCTGGGGGTCCAATGTGGGTCCAGTACAGCTTTAATGTGTGACGTGACCGGCCTCTCAAAGCACACCAGGGTGACAGGCGTAAATAAAGGCATGTTTCCAGTGACGTGTTTGGCACGGGCTGATGGTGGCAGGCCTGGAGCATCAGGGAACAATGGCATCGGCACTACAGTAATGATTAAGGCGGGTCCCCGCACTGATTTAATGATTTGAGAAATGTATCAGTGACGTACGTGTTTACTCAGAAACTGTTGCTCTAGAATAAGCTACTTCAGCAGAAACGGCAGGAAGTGAGGTTAAATGACAAAGATCACAATATATATAGATATATGAAATCTGAGCCATTGCTGTCTCTGTCTGACCAAAATTAATCTGGACTTTTGTCGCCGTTAACTTGTCATCTGTTGTCCCACACAGCCAAGTACACTACCGCAAGGGACGGTCAACATGAACCTGTGCACTGATGTGATCGACGCTGAGGCCAGGACCGGACAGAAGAACGCTCTGTGCATCATCACCCCGGAGCAGGAGTACTACATACGAGGAGACAACAAGGAGATCATCAATGGGTATGTGGCGTGTTCAGGGCGTCAGTCTCCCCACCGATGGGACACGAGATGAGCTTGACCTCTTCTGTCTTTCACCAGGTGGAGTGAACAGCTAGTGGTTTATCCAAGAACCAACAAGCAAAATCAAAAGAAGAAACGCAAAGTGGAACCAGCAACCTCACAGGTACTTTATGACTGCAACCTGTGCTCTGAAATCAGTTTTATTTGTTCCAAATTCCGATTTCTGTGTTCCCAAATTCAAACGGAATTTTTTGTTTTCCCAAATTCCGTGATTTCAGTTTTTAAGTTTCTGAACTGTGGTTTTATTGCATTTTAATAATCAAAAATGATGTCTAATCAGTAGAATTCACAAATGTTTATCTGTGCTTGTGTTTTATTATTTAATATAATATTATTATCAAAAACTATGTAAATCAAATGAATGCATAAACAATTTAATTAATCTTTTAAGATGTTAACAAATTAAATTAAATCAATTCCTTTCGGTTTAGCAAAGAAAGGGATGCACAACAGGTTAACTGTTTAAAGGGGGGACCTATTATGCCCTTTTTACAAGATGTAAAATATGTCTCTGATGTCCCCAGAGTGTGTATGTGAAGTTTTGGCTCAAAATACCCCACAGTTAATTTTTTATAGCTTGTTTAAGTTGCAACTTTTAGGGTATGAGCCAAAACGCGCTGTTTTTGTCATTGCCCCTTTAAATGCAAATGAGCTGGTGCTCCCTCCCCCTTTTCAGAAGAGGGCGGAGCTTCAGAGTCCGGCACACTGGCAACAATAACACAATCTCGTGCACTGAAACTGTCAGAAACTCTCAAGCGATCAACTCGCATTGATTTCATATGCAGTTTTTAACTACCACATTCCTGTTTACGATCGTTCTGGTAGCACGTGAAGGCAGCATCAGTGATAAGAGGCAAAGACGATGGTAGCTTTAGCAACATTAGCCTTACAGAGTGCCAAGAAGCTCTTTCAGAAAGGCAATTTGAAAACAAAATATGATGCGCTTGCTTTGTCTAGATGAAGTTTGAGCACAAAGCGTTGGTATTGATCCGTCTTTCAGAATCAGACTTGTAAAATGATTGGCATGAATTTATCGATTTTTTTTTCCCCGGGATATTTCCTTTGAAAATGAAACTTAACCACAGTGTCTTTAGCGGCTCAGATGGAGGGAGTCTATGGAGCTCCTATGTTCATTGGTGCATCCCAAAACGCAACACTTGTAATGCCTATTTGGCACTGACATTGTATGTCTACAGTAATGGTGGACTGCTGCTACTCAATCAGGCCTGTGTCTATGCTAATAGGGCAGAGAGAGCATCACAAATGGGTGGGACCTTTTCCCTATGGTGACGTGTGCCTGGGGAGAAATCTGGAACCGCTTGTTCTGAGAGACAGAATGATTTATGATTTATTGGGATCATAAAAAAAATGAGTGGGTGAATTTTTACCGTTACAGGCTGGTTGTTTTCATACACTGCAGTCACACAACTGTGTTAAAGTGATTTTTTGCATAATAGGTCCCCTTTGAATTAAAGCATAGATGAAGAATTTTGATATTGTGGGATATTCCTTACAAAATGCTGTTTTAATAAATATTATTTCAAATTATTATTTCATTTACGTTTATGCATTTAGCATAAATGTAAATAACAATATTGTTTTAAATAAAAAAAAAACTTTAAATGATTATGATTACATGTACAGCCCTACTTTTGATTTATTCATTTAAAATGTGCCATATTCCGTGACATTCAGCGTTATACAGTAAATTCAGCGAGTAGTGAAACAATGGATGTTATGTGCTTGATTTCAGGAACCAGGCCCAGCAAAGGTAGCGGTGACCGGCTCGGGCATCCCAGAAGCAGAGAAGACTCCAGACTCCAGTTCTATCATATGGCAGGAGGAGCTGCAAAGCAGAGAGGCGGACATGTCCCAGACGTGGTCCTCCAGCGAGATGCCGCCTCTTGGCTCACCACTGCCCTCTGCAGGTGTGGCAGACATTCGGCTGTTGATTTAACACGCTAATTTGGTGCGATTAATTGTGGAAGAAATAATGCTTTTTAAAATGATTAAGGCATTTAACGCGGCTGCCCAGTCCAGACCTGTCCGTCAAATTTCTCAGCCCAAATAAATTTGCGATTAATTAGTCGGCACATCATTTAATTAAATGAATTCAAATACACATTTGTTTGGCTAAAACCCTTCATGAAGTCACTCTTCTCCATTGCACTGTATAGGTGAGGGGTCGATGGTGAGCCGGTGCTCGGATCAGAGCTCAGTGAACGGTGATGAGGTGGACCGAAGCGGGCTCTCCTTCCACTCGGCTGTTTCCCAGCCCTCTCATGACCCCCTGTCGCCCACGGGCAGCTCGTCCAGCCGGCACAGTGCAGAGATGGGGGGCGTCCCGCGCTGCCTGTCTCCTGCTCCTAGCGACCCCTTCCCATCAGGCAGCAGCCTGCTGTCCAACGGTTCCCACATCAGCGGCTCCATGAGTTCTCTGGACTCAGATGCCAGTGGCAGCACTGTCACCAGCACCGACAGCCACCCGGCCGAACCTCTCGGACGCGCGCGAATCCATTATAGCATCTCACTGACACACTGGGGATTTGTTCAGTCACCATTATCTAGCATTCCACATTATTTTCTTGTTAATAAATTGTAAAAAGAGACATTTCATTAATCAAATGAACGGAGGAAGGTCTCTGAGTCCTGAGCCTGTATTCAGCTGAAATCTATAAGCTTATAATTTGCTTGCATTTACTACTGAATTAACAGGATAAATGCTGCTGTTTTTAAGGAGCTCCCATCAACCCTCTGAGGTCAAAGCCCTCGAGAGCGCCGTCTCAAACAACATCTCTGACGTACTTTTCCTGACAAGCATAGATGAGCAGCACTGAAGAATTCATAGAGAAAGAACAGAACGCTCTCCACTCTGGTTTAATTTGGGTTTATGGGAATTGTGCCACTTTGTATCTAGTAGCCAATGAGGCTGTGAGCAGTCATGTGACACAAATACCTCACTGACTGGCTTTCTTGTTTCCTTTTAAGGAGGCTGACAATGCAGTGCAGAACCCAAATAAGGGCAAAATTTGAAAAAAATAATTTAATATTTTCAGACATGGTTTTGTGAACTGAAGTCCTGACTGTATGTCGGGGAATGTTCGTGTGTTTGAGGTCATCAAAACCAGGAGACACATTTAACTCCTTCCCGAGGAAGATAAAAGTTTTACTAATTGATACCTTCATCAAGGATGCATGAAACTGATCAACAGTGACAGTTAAGACATTTATAATGTTACAACAGATTTCTATTTCAAATAAATGCTGTTTTTCTGATCTTTCTATTCATCAGAGCATCCTGAAAAATAAAATGTGTCACGGTTTCCACTTTCCACAAAAATGTGAAGCAGCACAGCTGGTTTCAACATTGATAATGATCAGAAATTTCTTGAGCAGCAAATCAGCATATTAGAATGATTTCTGAAATATCATGTGACACTGAAGACTGGAGTAATGATGACGGAAATTCAGCTTTGATCACAGGAAAAAATTCAATTGATCATATATTCATAATATAAGACAGCTATTTTGAATTGTAGTAATAATTCACTTTTTACTGTATTATTGCTCAAATAAATGCAGCCTTAATAATCAAAAGAGGCTTCTTTCAAACGTATTAAAAAATCTTTTGACCCCAAACTTTTAAACGGTAGTTTATAATATATTTTAAATTAAACTTGTTTTTATATTCATAATGTTGTTTTGCTCTTGAAGACACTCCCTTAAAGTAAAAATTGAGTATAAATATTAACCAATTAAATTAGAATAATGCCATATAGTGTTTCTTCGATTTAGTAAACATTTCCTTCGTTTTTCTTTTTCTTTTTCAGATAATTATTAAAGTAAAAATTCATTTATAAAATAAAGGGCAAAGAACAAAAATGACAGGATAAGAGAATAATGCAGTAAACTTTATTGAAGTAAAAATATGCAATAAAACTATTACTGCCGTAGACTTGAGATTTCTAATAGGCACTGAGCAGCAGGCCTGTAATTAAAATGAGCTGTACATTTGACTGAATTTACACTGTAAGACGTGATGTTTTGATATCTTGGTGCACATTTTTTTGGTTCCTCCAGTTTACCTTCACTGATGATCTCCATACGAGCATTGAGAGAGCAAGGTCTGTCAGTCAGACAGCATGTGTGAAAGGATTGCTTGAATTGAGAGGCAAATTAAGCCGGAAACTGCAGAATCTACACTGCACTGTAATGTCTCTGTTAAGATCTCTTTCTGTTTCTGCATTCTTAGTGGGCGCTCGAATGTGATTGAGAAGCTGGAGGCGTTGGAGCTGGAGCACGCTGAGAGAATGGAGGTGGAGGAGAGATGCAGTGGAGTTCGGCAGGGCCGCAGTGAAATGAGACGATTCCAGCGGGAGGTAATGTATACTTACCCAAACCCCCAGTGTTTATATTCACAGACACATGATGGTTTTACAGCCGGCACTGTCATCATGCACTTCCTGGAGACGCCGTCTCCTCACTCACGCAAGCTCTCGATGTGAATGTGGCGCAAACTTGGAATCCCTAGAAACTCGGCATTTAAAGTTCTATAATCGTCTTAAAGGGATAGTTCACCCAAAAATGATCATTCCGTCATCATTTACTCACTTATGTTGTTCCAAACTTGTATGAGTTTCTTTCTTCTGTTGAACAATAATTAAGATATTTTGAAGAATATTGGTAACTAAACAGTTTTCGGTAGCCATTGACTTCCATAGTATGGGAAAAAATATTCTTCTAAATATCATCTTGTGTTACAGAGAAGAAAGACACTTATACAGGTTTGGAATGACATGGGGGTGAGTAAATGATGACAGAATTTTCATTTTTATGCGAACTATCCCTTTAAAGCAAAACAGAAAAGATGACCTAATGATTTTTGTTTTTAAAGAAAAGGTTCAGCTGTTTTTTGGCTCTTGCACGCATGACCTTTTGTTTCAGTTAATTTCCCGTTTCCATTATGTGCTCTGATTCCCCTGACAGTTTCTTTCCTTTCTCAGTCTTGTGCCTTGGGCCGAATAAATTTCTTTGACAAAAAATGTATAGTTGCCACGTCTCTTTTTCATCATGGTTTATAGAGCTGCTGCATCTGGTCAGGTCTTTGTTTTTTTTTTATATAATTTTTCCTTTCCCTTAAATAATTTTTTTTGTATTTCATTTAGGGCTGGGAGATAATTTATTTTTTTTGTTAAAATTACCATAATATGTTTGCACATGTTTAGGAGACATGCTTAGTTCACCTACTTGTTTCTCTGAAAAACAATGCTACTGCCAGTTATTGTACATTTAAATGTGCGTTCCTTGTTGGAATGTCTGTTTTTGTTTTGGTCTGTGACTCCGCCCACTGCCATTTTACTGAATATGTATACAGTCATGGAAGCGAGTAAACAAACTGGTTTAGAGAGAGCAGATTCTACCCAACCTGAAAAAAAAAACTCTGCATCCATCTAAAAATCTCTATGACCAGAGGCATATTAAACCACGAATAAATCTACTCATCAGCTTACAGAGTAAGGCTCGTTGCCTTTAAGTGTCAACTGAGCTTGTTTCTATTGCTTGTCCTCAATCTGGCAACCAGCATGTTTTGAATACCCCCAGTATTTTGAATTTTGACTGCAGTACCCATTTCAACCACTAGCTGTCAATATTACATACTACACCAGGGTTCCTCAAATCTTACCCTGGAGGGCCAATGCGCTGCAGAGTTTAGCTCCAACCCTGATCAAACTTACTTACCTGTGAGTTTGATCAGAGATTGATATATTATAGAAATAATATAAAATTAGGCAAAATGGTGACATTCAGTTTTAAAAGTCAAATCAAAAAGTCAAGACAATTCAAATTTAAAGCAATTGACAATATTACAGCAGTAGTAGGCAATTATTAACAGTAAATGAAAATGGCAGCAGCTTTTAGCCTATCAGCATCATGCAAACATCAAATATCAAGTTGGCAGTAATAGTTCAGCACAGGTTTCTGCTTTTCCAGTGTTTTTCTATGTAAACATGCACTTTATAGGCGTGATTTACCGCTGCACTCGCGTCTTTTGCAGTGGCTCGCGCATGAAACAGCACTAAAAACGCAAGTTAAAAGAAGTTCAACTTTCATCTCATAACTTTGAGTTTTTATCTTAGCTGTTACTGTATTGTCAGCGTGTTTAATTGTAGCATTTGGTAATATTTTTATTCAAAACTGTGATTGCTCGATTTAAAAAAAAAAAAAAGAGAGAAAAATGCCAAAACATTACATTTGAATTAATCGAATGTACTTGTCCAGCCCTAATTTCATCCTGATCCTGTCTATCCAGACTTATTTTGTACACACGCACACACATGCCTACTAGGGCCGTGTATCACCAGCAAAGTCACGATACGATACGTATCACGATACAGAGGCCACGATACGATACGTATCACGATACCAATAATTGACATTGCTGGTAGGTTATCATCGCACAAATTAACACACTCTCTACAATAAAAATAAATAAATTAGAAGAGTTCTAAACTAACGTGCTGTCTTCAATGTATCTAATGCACACACTCTCAAGGCTGATCTATGGCTGATTTATACTCGAGCGTCAGCAAGTTCGCTTTGAGTGCGCGCGACGTCGTTTCACGTGGCGGTGTGCACAACATTTTTTGTAACTTTCCGTGCAGCTCTGCTTCCGAAGATGCACGAGTTCATCTCAAAGCGACTCTAGCCGAACATGCACGTCTGTGCCAGCATTTGTGTGAAACAGAAGCAGTTTGGTGTTAAGTGCAGTCACACAACTAAATAGCTTAATCGCTCAAGAGCTACATTATCTTTCTCAACAAGGAGCTGGTAGCATCATTGTTTCTAAAGGAATTAAAGCCATAGCTTTACTGTTAATAGAGAAACACGGCAAAACGGTGGTAATTCATACATACACAGCCTCTCTCTCTCTCTCTCTCTCTCTCTTGTAAATGAACAGTTGATGAATCACACTTTTATGAGAATAGACTTGAAGTGTAAATCGCTAAACTGCAAGCTAACCGGTGTTTTCAGAAAGCAAGCGCGTTTATCCACAGTGGAGCGAGCGCGTGAGCACAGGGTTGCCAGGTTGACAAAGATAAGTAGCACGTTTAGCAGATATTTCTGTATTGCGCAAGTGTAAAGCTCTGTTTTGGGGATTACGTCTCTTTATATCAGGCAACCCCGTTGTGTTCCTCTGCGGCCAGATTATTAACCGATGCTCTATTCATTCTTTTTTAGAAACCTCGCACATTTCTACTAAATTTTAAACATTGTAAAATTAAGCGTGGTCCACTGCTGCACACGTGCCACAGTATCAATACAGGGCCAGCTGTATCGATACTTGTATCGTCAAATCTCTGTGACGATACATCGTCGTATCGATATTTTGAACACAGCACTAATGCCTACTAGTCGTGCTAGTATAAGTTCACTTTCCTTTGTGTCTGTTTCCACTTACACCGGTTCAGTGCAAGGAATGGTGGTTTCTCAACAATGTGAGCAATCTTGTTCTTATGACATTCTTTACTGATGGTATCGTTCATTTGCTGCTTAGGGTTTTACGTGTGTGTGATCATTGAAGGAGCACAAACGGCATTTGTTTCGCAAGCCAAAGTGCTCTGAAAAATAGCAAGGATTATTGTTGCAAGCAGACGCATCTGTCAGTGTAACCAAGGCTCAAGTTGAATCTAAAATGAGGCTGAGAGCTTCTCAGGCTGGAGATTGTTATTGTTTGTGCTGCTTTCAAGGTCAGTCCAGGGTTTTGATGTGTTCCTGGTGTTTTCTGCCTCATTCCGAAGGCAATTGAACTGTTTATGAAGCCTCTCTGCTGTGGAGGTCAGTGATCCTCAGAGTGTCTGTCAAGTATTGATATTATTCTACAGCAGATGGACCTAATTACGCAACTCTATCCAAGCAAATGCTCAGACATCAGGCAAAACATCTTCGGAGAATGGATAAACAAGTCCACAAACTCTTGAATGAAACTTTAACATTTGATGTAACCCTTTAATAAATACTTTTGTAAGTAAGGCAATCTGCATGGACGCGTTTATCACTCATTATCCTTCATTAGAGTGTTGGTCAATGTTGGTTATACAGTATATTGGACATTTTATAATGCATGTTTTATGCATACCTGTATTCTGCGCATTAAAAAATCTTCTGTTTCTTTCACACATTCAGGAGCAGAAGATGGACCCGGCCCAGGGTTTAGACTTCCATCACTCCACCCTGCCGCCTCTGAGACGAGCCAAATCACTGGACCGCAGGACCACCGAATCAGTCATGACAGTAAGACAGATCCATCTCTCTGTTTTCTCTCAGCATCACGCCGCACAGATTCTGGACAGTCATAAGGCATTTCCATTATAATCAGCGAACATTGTGTGTGAACCGCTGCCAAATCCTCCACACTGGCTCTGTTGTTCTCTGAGGTTCAAAGGTTAAAGAGAGCAGCAGCAGGATTTGGCATGATTTGAAGGAAAAGATGGACTACTGTTTTGGAATATATTAGTCAGCATGATATAAAGAACATCTCTATTTACACAGATTTTAGCATTAGATGGAGATCACTGCTGTTTAAAAATCAATCATTGCTGTGTTTTAATGCATTGTACAGGCTACAGTGATGTCCTCCAGTGTCCTTTTTTAATGGACATCTTTATTATTTAAAATAACATAACTGCTTCATTCCTTGTTTATAAATTGCAAAAATCTTGTCAAATTCATGTGGTGTGAGCAACAAGCAGACAGAATTTAAATATCACATAATTGGACCTTACGAAGCAAAGTTGAGGTTGTAAAATGTAATTTGGTGTGACTCATACTCATACATAATACTTCATGATATTTGGGGGGGAAAAAGTTTTTCCTGGAAAAAAATTATTTTGAGTACTGATTCTAAAGTGTTTTAATAAGTTTAGTATAGTTAACTAAAACCATAAAAATAATTCCTTTACGTGAGGTAAAATAAACTTTAACTAAAATATAATAAAATTATAACTGGAATAACAATAAATACACATTTATATAGACATAGTAATAATAAAAATGACTATAACTAAAATGGAAAGTATAAAAAATAATTCTAAATATTAATAAAAACTATAATTGTATAAACTATCATTTAAAATGTATAAACTATAATAAAAATGAAAAGGAAAATATAAAAAATTCAAGATATTAATAAAAACTATAATAGTATGTCGCTAACTAAAACTTAACATGAAAATACAAAAATAAGCACTAATTCAAAATTTTAATAAAAAGTGTAATGGTATATACATTTCTAAAACTTTCAAATTAACATGAAAACAGAAAAAAATGAAAATAAAAAATTCTAAATGAAAATGGAAAATATAAAAATAACAATTACTTCAAAATATTAATTAAGCAATAATACTATATCAGTAATACTAAAATAACACTGATGAACAAGTGTTAAACTATATATACTTTTTTTAAATAGATTTTTCCTTGATCGTGGACACTCTCATTTGTCTTTGACCCTTAAAACGTTCTGCTGGTATCTCCACTCAGACTAATCCTGGTCGCCCTCTTGTTTCTCTGTGCTATTTGTGTACTTCATTGTTGTAAGTCCTCGGACGTCCTATTCCTCGGGGTGTCGCGTGCTCCTCTCTCCTGCCCAGGTCATCTCCAGCTCGTCCTGCATCCAGCCACGTGTTCCTGTCCTCTCACGTCCGTGTGCGCAGTCTCACCCTGTTATACATGTTGCTCTCTTTTCAGTCTGTGTGTATGGAGAGCAGTCCTCATCTGTGTGTGTTTGATGAGCGTGTGTGTGTGTAGCTCTGTCCAGCACTCTTAACACACAAATGCCTGTTGTGTTGCTCCTCAGCGAGCTGTGAAGTACAGATGCTCTGAACTGACATGTGGAGTGTGTTTCCTCCTGTCTGTCAAAAAGACAAAACAGCGGGTAAAATAAGTATTGAACACATCACCGTTTTTCTCAGTAAATATATTTCTAAAGGTGCTATTGACATGACGTTTTCACCAGATGGCGGTGACAACCAAAGCAATCCATACATGCAAAGAAAACAAAACAAATAGAAATTAAGTAATGTGTAATAAAATGGAATGACACAGGAAAAAAATTTTGAACTACTGAAATTGATTTAATACTTCGTACAAAAGCCTTTGTTGGTAATGACAGCTTCTGATTTTGGCCCATTCTTCAACGCAGTCTTCAAATCTTGAAGGTTCTGTGGGCCTCTTCTATGAACTCTGATCTTTAGTTCTTATTTTCTATTGGATTCAAGTCAAGTGACATTAAACTTTGATGTGGCATTCTAGCAGCTTTATTTTCTTTTTCTGAAACCAATTGAGAGTTTCCTTGGCTGTGTTTGGGATCTTTGTCTTGCTGAAATGTCCACCTTTTTCATCTTCATCATCCTGGTAGGTGTTGGGACTGAACCAGCTAATGTTAATTTCCACTGACTAGGGGCAGGATTGCTTTCTAATTACTGATCGATTTCAGCTGGAGTCTTGGCTTTTCATGTCTTTTTGCACCTCCCTTTCTTCATGTGTTCAATACTTTTTCCCTGTGTCATTCGATTTTATTACACAGAACTTAATTTCTGAACTTGCTTGTTTTGTTTTCTTTGCATGTATGGATTGCTTTGGTTGTTACCGACATCTGGTGAAAATGTCATGTCGACAGCACCTTTAGAAATATATTTACTGAGAAAAATGGTGACGTGTTCAATACTTATTTTACCCGCTGTAAGTGACTGTCAAGTGCTCCAGAAAAACACCCTGGCTTGCACCTTTTTCTCTCACCCAAGAGTGTCAAAGAGCAGAAAAGGCTTGTTGAAGTGTGTAGAAATGAGGCGTGGATGTGAGTAAATGCTCACGATCAGCAGCGGCTGTTCTTCACTCGGCACACCTGAGATTCATTCGTTCAGCTCATCCTGCATGAAGATCTGTGTGATCGCACATGATATGACACACCTAACTCCACTGCTTCTGTTTATTTACAACCGTTTCCCTCTTGGATTACAGCCAGACCTGCTGAACTTCAAGAAGGGTTGGATGGTGAAACTTGATGAACAGGGCCAGGTGAGTTTGTGTTTCTCTGTAAACAATAAACAAAAATAATCTCTCGCTGATTAGATCTCACAGTAGTGTATGGAAATTAAATCCCAAGTGCTGGGCAATGTTTCACAGCAGTGGGAAATACATAAATAAACATATATAAAAGCATTGCAAATATTGCTGAATTTAGTGCTTTATAATTTGATGATTATATTTCCTAAAAATGTGTTTTTAGATTTTTTTTATATATATATTAAAATCTTTCAGCATTATTATTATTTTTATTATTACATGTAGGTGTTATTGCTGTTTATTACTCTTTCATTATATTATTATTAATAACAATAATAATACCAATTATTATTATTAGTATTTATAATAATAATTTATATTAATTAAACTTATTTAATACTTGTTATATCATATTGTAATGTATAGTATTATATGGTGATGCACCGAAATTGTTTTCATTTAGCCAAAAACTAAAATTGTATTTAATAAAAAAAATAATATAATTTTGTTTAGTACTAAAAGTTTATTTAATAATAAATTAGTCACATTTATTTAAAAGTCAGTGCTCAAATGCAAACCTTTAAATTGCTCATAAGGCAGGTTTTATACAATTTTAATGATGCATTAATTCGTTGTGGAAATATAGACATATAAATGGTGTCTGTAATAACTTGTTTTAATGACCGATTTATTCAAACACATTAATAAGTCCTTCGATCTGCCCGCTGACGCCGCAAAGATGGACTTTGAGAGTGTGGGTGTGGTCCAGGTAGATGCTCCGCCCCCATCGGTGGAGCGGCAGCAGAGAGTGGAGGACGAGATCGAGCAGCATTGGCAGCAGGTGGAGAAGACACCCATCAGGGAGGAGAGGAGGGTGTCTTTGCCCTCCACACATCCCAACAGAGACGCATCAGAGCTGGAGAAACTCGTCGAGAGCTACAAAAAAGGGGTACGGGCTTCAAAATCCAATGCACAGTTATTACTTTAAACTAGGGATGTCAAACGATTCAAAGCTTTAACCTTAATTACATGATGTGCCGAATAATTAATCTAATTTAACACAATCAATCGTTGACTCTCTCGATTAGTTCAAAAAACGTAGTTCTGCTGTGGCTTTGTTTGGAACCATTTTCGTTTGTGAAACTGAGCAGAATATTGACTCTTGTGTAGCATCAAATTTAGCAGAATTTTAAATTCTTGTTAATTGAACTGTAATGAAGCAATATAACGTTTGCACTGCTACAGATATTGGGGAGAAACTGCACTTTTGCTGGTGTGATATTGATACTATATCATATGATATAAATATAAGAGGGTAATTTTTTTGCACTCATATCTTGAATTGTAGGCTTATATAACTGCATTTTAATAGACTCCATCACACAATCAGTTGTCCTGAATCGTGTTCATCAGAAACTGCATCAGTGTAAGATGACGGACAGGTTTGGAGACAGTGGCGTTATTTTCTCTATAATTAATCGCACCAAAATAATGTGCTCAACAGCCCTAGTTTAAACATCCAGAGTTGAAAAATGAAATATGATATCATGTCAGATCATAACTTCTCTTTGTGCTGTGGACATTGTTAGGTTGAAGAGCTGAAAGCTCAGTTGGAGAGCTGCCACCAGCAGTTAATGGACTCCAATCGGCACAAGCTGGAGCTGGAGGGTCAGCTCAAAAACGCTCTTGAGCGCGAACAGCAGATCCGTGCTGGTTATATTTCACCGGTAGGCTGCATTTATGTCATGGTTTTCATAGCGTATTCAGGTATTACCTGATTGAACACATGGTGTGTCATTATTAGGAGAAGAACAAACACATGGCTTCCATCTTTAACATCGAAGCTGCAAACGCGTGCTTTGCATGTCTAGAGACCGTTGCATGTAAACGAACAGTGCTCTTTTGCCTCTACTTAAGATGCCTCTTGCCATGTTCAAGCGAAATGACATTAAAAATTTCAATTTCATGCAAGCTCTATTGAAATGATTAACAATAACTGAACATAAATTAATAAATATACAATGATGGCATGAACAAATACTCTGAACTTACCATGCCCTCCAGATACATTCATACTCAATGATACACACTTTAAATTACTGGAAAACATTTACTGCATATTATTTACAAAAATATTTTGTTAACACTTTACTTAAAACCATTATGTATAATGGATTAAAAAGGTATTCGTAATGTATGCTGAAATGCATTATTCATAAATAATTGTAACCAAAGTTAAA